GCTGCAAGAGCGCCCAAGCCCAGCGAAAAGTCTCATTTAGCGTGGAGGAGACGAAAGCCTCTGGGCATTCATCTGGGTTAATCGGAGCACAACATCAATGCGACGGTATCGGAATGAGATGTCAGTTATGCAGAGGCTCGCTATTACCAACCTTTGATACTGGAATATCGTCCCTCTGCCTCGCCGGGATCAGCCGGTCTGACGCTGGCCCACTTCTATTTACGGCAAACTCGTTAAATGTTGATAAACCCCGGAATTACTCTGACGAACAAGGGAGTGAGACATGGCGCATAGACGGTGGCGAGCACCGCGGCCGTGATTTGGAGGCTAGCCGCGATTCTTCCACTAAGGAGGAGCAGTTGTTGGGGTCTACCCAAATGCCCGGGGCCATCCATGGGCCTGTATATTGCACCTCATCTCCGGTCGATGATGGCCACTTGGACACGTTCTACAGGCCATTTATTATTGCCTTTCTCGACCCTAAAAACCCTTGCTGTAGAGATAGCGACAGATGGCCTGTAGAAGGCAGGAGGCCAGGCGCCCTTCAGATTGGCCTTAATCGCGAAAGTAGCGGGTCAAAACCGTTCTCTCCTTGTACCGACGGACTAGCTGGGGGCCTGGCCACATGTTCTGACGTGCGCACCGGCTTTGCTTACAATGCCCAACCCTTGAGGCTGTTCCTCCAAGGCGTTGTTAAGACGCCTACCCTGGCGACTTCTCATGCTCGGGAGTACAAGAAGAAAATAGGCGAAAACAGTCCGCTGCCAGCCAGCGAATACAACCTCGCCCAGCCAATGAGGACGAGTGCTACGCACCGAAGTTTGACGGCCTTAACTCCGGACATAGTGCTTCCTGCAATGATCAAAAGTAGATCTAATAACGACTTGTCGTTAAGTGTTCCCTTGGAGTCTATGGACAAAATGATATCGCTGGACGACTACAGGTCAAAAGTGGGCGGTGGAAGTAAAATAAGTCTTTTGCATATGCCACGGTACAAGTCTTATGAGCTTCAAGGCGCACCCTTATTTTCGACAACCAGCGTTCATTCCGCCAGATTTGCCGTCAGAGGCTCGTACAACCCACGAATTTGCATAAGAGCAGCACGTATCGTCTATGATTTGACAAACTTAATCTCAAATCATGTCGGGAAAAGTGTTTCACACTTGGTGAGGATCGGTTTTGATAGCTCGGTCTAAGGGTCACAGTAGTTCATTAAATTCTGCTCGCAAACATGAATTACCTCATTCGTCAACTATGGCGATGCTTGCCCCGCTGACCATTTGGTTTCTTGATCGACATTTGGACTTTTACTTTTAGCTCTTTCTTTATCCAATAACGCACGTAGGTCCGTTTCAACTAGGATCACATCACACCATGACCCCAAATTTCAGGTACTTTTATTGCCGATCGAAAATGGCTCCCTCAGCCCATTCATTCACGAGCATATTATTGAACCTTTCCTTTTGTATGCAAGTCCTCATGTGAAATGGAGGGTCCAATAGCCCGAAGCTACCAATAGAGCAATCGAAGTCCAATATTTTATAATCCAGCTGCAGCCTGAACGTGAGTCGGTAGGGTGATGGCTCGTTCTATAATTTTCTTTTTAAGTTTGCACTAACCTTGCCGTCTACCTGTTATTACCAAGTAAGTGGTAACATTTTGACTTTGGACGGTTCCTGCTCGATTTACCCAAATCTTTGAGTCTGAGGGCACCTGATGGTGTCCAGCATGCTCTCGTATATATTAAATTTTTAGGGGGACCTTCATTTCGGATGAAAGTGCATAAAGAAGAGATTCGTTTGTCGATCTCACCAGATGAGGACAAATGAATCTCGTTGTACTACAGCCGTTTGGCTTTTATACGATATTCATATTGACGCAGTCCACGAGACTTCCTCCCTCGTTTCGGGTGA